ATGTTTGACACTGTACAGTGTCATACCCACATATATGGTAGCATACTTGACACCTTCCATCTATCCAACTTATACATAAATCCTACATAGCCAGTAAAGCTATGATGATATAATAAAAAGTAAAACACTCCTGCAAGAGTCCCAGGTTGAGTTAAATTTGACTACGATAACAATTGTACGAGTACAGTACAGTACAATCATATCTCTAATCATACCCCTGTGAATCTGTCAATCTATGCTAGTGACTGGTGGATATCCAGCGATAACCTCATCTGGCATATAACGTAAATTACCAGTTTCCAGGACAATACAGGGAACCGGGATGGGATTCAAGTGAAGTATATTGACAACCAATTCAATTGTAACTTTACGAGAAAAAAGCATAAAATCATTCCAAAACTAGCCTAAAAAAGAGAGAACATAGGAGAAAATGCCATGGTAGGAGGGAGAAGGTGGAAGGAAAACTGGATTTTTAAACAAATTAGTTAGGCAGGAAAGCAGCAAGATAAATAGAGAAGGGAAACAATTCAAAAAAAAAAAAAAAAAAAAAAGGTAAAACCTAGTGCTTTGAACACAGCTTCATGTGGAGTGGGCAGTCTGGCATATGGGTGTGGGTAATGAGGGGTCAGAAGGGAGTATCAGAGATACGATGGTAATAAGAAGTACGAGTATTTTGACAAGAATTCTATAACGCATCTGAGATCACCTCAAGAGCATCCTCTGAAGTAGTAGCTAGAGTTATTGCAATAACTTTAGGAGTTAAAGCAATCTGAACATGTCGAGACTCATGCTGGCATGGAGGTTCAGGATATAGAGTACTTGGATGGGTGATAGGAGTTGTATTTTTTCTCTTTTGTTGCGGTGACTTTTTTGAATGGTGGTCAAGCTCATTATGGGCTTTTTGCAATACAATAAGCTCTTTGCCTGTCAGAATACGGGCCTTAGAGAGCTGTTTCCTGTCTGGCTTAGTGTTGTAGGTTTTTTTCTACTATAAGCCATCATAGATCTTTTCCCTGATTTCCTTCTCTGCCATTGAGAATAGGACAGCATGGCTAAATTCTTTGCGAATTCCCTTGAATTTTTTAACCAAAGCACCATTGTCAATAAGATGGTTTGCAGCTTGTAGTTGACTGCATATATCTCTGGAGCATTTTGGTATATGAAAGATCTTAGAAGGGAGTGTAGAGTTGGTTGGTGTTAGGAATACCGAGATCCGATACCTAGGAACCACCCTAGGTAGGGTAACCTCTCCCGAAATCGAAATCCGTCTCCAACACCCCCCCTCTAGCCCCCTTACGGGGCCCACACGTCATCATACATATCGATCTAAGTTGCGTCCTGTGAGTATTATATCACAGAATCGAAGATGTTAAAATAGCACCGTATACGTCGCCGCCGTCCGTCCGACCGGATCCTGTTCGCAGGATATATAAGATGGGACCTTCGGCTAGGTCTGGGAAGTATAACGGAGTGAATCCGTCAACTACCCAAAAAGTTACTAGGCTTCAAGAACGAGATATCTTCGGCATAGGCCGTAAGTAACGGGATGTTTTCGCGCAAAAAGATGATGATGAATAGTAAAGGATCTTAATGAAAGACCAATACATTCACATCTACCCTACGATAACCAGAAAAGTCTGGAACTCCTGAGAATACTACCATCGAACCCAATGAAGTTCGAGGAGTGTTACAACTAGGTTCTGGTACATACTGCAACCGAAGGGGTGACTCCCAAACCGGTAACAGTAACCAGAATCCTATTACTCACGGCAACCAAGGGTTACCGACCGAGGGATTATCTACCAATCCTAGGGAAAGGCTTCCTGCAGGCAAGTAGGAAGTCCTCCGGAAAAGACCTATCGGTTGGGTATGGAGTTATGAAGAGTTGAAGTTAGATGACCTAGAAAGTCGGTAATAACAACTATCTTCGCAGATGCAACCCGCAGACGAAACTGATCATTTCGTCGACAAGGGAGACGATTGGAGCCAACACAGTTCGACTTGAGAATTGGGCCATTTGTCTAAAAAGACTCTCACCATCGGATAATTACTCGATTGGAAACAGCATGACTTCCAAATAGTCATATTATAATTATCAAAGAGGGTGTGATGATTTTCAGGGTCTTCAGGTGTTCGCACCTTGGAAGAAAACCCGACGTTGCGAGTTATATTGGAAAAGGGTACATGGTTGTATGTTAGTCAGATGTAGTCCGCGAATACTCAGACGCGGAATATAAATATCGAAGTGCCTCCCAAGCTTTAGACATCATCAAGCAACAGAGAAGAGACCTTAACAATATAATATTGTTCTTACGATTTTACTTTACTTTACGCTACTTTACTTCGCTCTTAGTAGTCATAAACGAAACGAGTGAAGTCCGAGCCTTTCTAGACAATCTCCGTCTATAAAAACGAATCTCGATCGGGCTAGACAACTCTGAAGTCTATCAGGTTGTCTCCGCCTAACAGTTGGAAAAGGATTACAGTTGTTGTTTTCAGGCTTTAGCTTGTTGTTAACTCGGCGAAGATTAAATGGTATAATATCAGTAGTAGTAAAAGCCTAGTTGATGTTGCGCTTGGTGATAGCTGTAATACGTGCATTATGTAGAAGGGGAATAAAAACTGACTTCTTAATCCCTTCCTCACTATGATGGTTGTACTTGCCAACCCCCCGGCCATAGGCATTCTGTAACGGGCTAAAGATACCCACATCCAGGGACTAGAGGAGATTTGTTAAATGCAAGGAAAGACAGAATAGAATAATGTTTTTTTTTTTGACAAAAGGTGACAAACTTCCAAGTTATATGAGAGCCATGTCTGTCTAGTAGGAGTAGTTATGGGAAGGGGGCAATGGAGGCTGTACATGGCTTAAATAATTCTGTGATCCATTTCAAAGTAACTGCATTGTCTGTCCAGCTATTTAGAGAGAATGAAAGGCAGTAGTTAGCCATGGTAGCTGTTAAATTCGTGTACTAGCCCTTGTATTGAGCTCTGCCCTTGTTAATCACTATGGACGGAAAGGCATAACCAGTAACACAAATTGTTTCAACTACGGTAACCATTTCTCAAGTGCCTTCATGAGTGACACAGGGGTTTTTGCACTTCCAGTGACAGAGGATCTTTACTTGTGCTGAAATCCCCATTAGGAATCCTTTCTAGTCTATATTGAAGATCTGGAAGGGCTTTAGATTATGTTGATGAATGATTTGTGAGAGTATGGAAAAATAGTCTTACAATAGGCGGGGACAACTCACATGAGCTCTCTGATGGTCTAACTTTGTGCTGAACTTGGTCACCATATTGGGATGATGGTCTAGAAATCTTGTAATCCAATTTTTTCCTAAACTCTTTTGCTTATCTTCCATTTTCTTTTCGTACGAAAAAAGTACCATGCTTTTCACCATATCCAATCATGGTGGAAAACCCCGGTTATCCTGCTCCTTACACCAAGCCACAATTACTTTCTCTTCCAGATCTGATATTAACTGGTTATTCACCTGTGCAAGATGGCGACTGGTTCTCTTCCCTGTATACTAGTAATAAAGAGTAGACTTTGGAATATCAAAAGCCTCAGTGGCTGCCCGAATGCTTTCCTGCATACCTTCTTTCAAAGCCTGGATTGCAGCAGTAATGCGTATCTCACAACCTGTAGTATCATTGGGCTTCTTAACTTTCGGCATTGTTGTGTTTTGGTCATAGTTGTTTGTTTTTTAAGCTGGGTAACTATGTTTGGAGGATGTTTCATTTTAGCGAGATTGCGCCATTCCGCTTCAGGGTGATGTTCCGGATCCACGTGATTTACGTTATAGGACATCTCTTTTTTTTCTTTCTTTTTTCTTTTTTCCGCCGTAGTACCTGTATCAATTCATAGGTGATTATGTGGAATTGATCGATTGCCCTCTCCCTCTCTCCAATGCTGGGTGACCGCTGACCTACTGCTCGAATTCTTTCCCAATTCATCATGGTCCAGTTCATCGGGATCCCGGTAAATCCTATCTCCCCTCTCTAGATCTACAAACTCGCCCGAAAAACTTTATAGATGGTCTCGGCTAGTCCGTACGTCCCTCCTTCCATATTCTCGAGAGAATGGCAAATAAGGAAAGCGTTAGTATGTACTGTACTAGTATAGCATGCTATTCTTACCGGTATGATAAATAATAATGGAAAAAAAAAAAAAAAAAAAAAAACCTCCCCCCCCAGATCCTGTTCCTACCTAATTAAATTTTTATGATATCTACCTGCCCAACGAAAACAGCATAAACGCAAACGACGGAAAGTTACCAGTCGTCGACCCCGAAGGTCCGAGTAGTATTCATATTATACAAAGTATTATTATTATTATTATTATTATTATTATTATTAAATTTTGTCACCTTAGACTAAATTACCTGCAGGTACTGTACTACTTACTATTACAACCACCCTCGCGCGCGGTGATTATTCCAAAGTGCGTGTGAACTGGCATTGGCATACTATCTAAATATCATAGCTGAAAATACGAAAACGATTGGTATAATACGTACTAGGGAGTTATCAAGTTATGATACCCCGTTCACAATATTTTTTGGACAGATTAGTTAGTATATTATAAAATAATTGTTGGGTGGATGGATGGATTAGATTGGGGTCTTGTTATGATGTCCTCATCTGTAAAGATTACCGGTATATTTCTTGGGGATCATTCCAGGGTTGGGTTTCTTGGGTGCATCTATACTGTACTGTACAGCACTTGTGTCTATGATACCGTAATGCAGTATCATACTAGCACCCATCACAGGTCCTTGAGCACCATATCCCATCCCATCCGCGCCAGACCATCGCGTGGGCGGTGATAGGGAACGGCATCCAACTCAGACTACGGTACCATGCACCACCCAAACTACCGGCACCATGCTAGCAGGGTGACCGGGACAAACTTGGACTGCATACCCAACAACCTACGATTACAGTAGAAACACTACACCGCATCATACCGCACCAATCACGGAGGAAAGCTTTAATAAACAACAATAGAATATAATAAACAAGTGCACAATGGAAAGGAGAGAAAAGAGAGAGAGAGAGAATTACGACTAGATTGTTGTTATGACAGGTTCGCCCCCTCTTTCTTTCACTCCTGATTTGTGGGGGGGGGGGAATTAAAAAAAAAAAAAAAATCAAGAAATACATTCGCTCTTTTTGTTTTTTCATGTGTAAATGACAAAGATAGGATGAATGAATGGATTTATGAAACCGGTAAGCCTTCGATGACTCCTTGTTCCTCGTTCAATGGTCCCATCCCGACCCTATAAGACACCTTCCACCGCATCTTGACATTCCCGCCGCCACCTCTCGGGACTCCCGAGACTCGGATGATCTGTGCTACTCCTGCCCTCTGACGGGCTTCGAGATGCCTGCTGCTCTGTGGTTCCATCCTGAGAGCCAATGCCTGCGAGAACTTATAGTGTCAGTTAATTCCCTTTACTCTCCTCTCAATCCCTTTCTCCGAAGAGCCAAGACCAGGCTCCTAGGTTGGACAGGAGAGGACTGATGTGATCTTAACGCACCTTTGTGACTGCCATCTGAAAAGTCAGATCCTCGATTGGTTGGCTTGCGTTGTTGGAAAACTTGGCCTTTACTAATATCGGGCCGTTGGGCATAGTGACAGGTCTATGTATATCCAACAGGATATGCAGGTTCGAATTGAGGATCACAAGTTCATTCTGTGAGACCGGCAGCGGTGCAGGTTGTTCCGGCGGCAGCGAGGAGGTGAACGCCCAATCATCTTCATCATCGCCGGCACTGTTTCCATTGTTTCGTTGGACAGCAGGAGCTGGTGTTTGTTGTATTGGCGGAGAAACAAAGCCGCCTGGAGCCATCGGCTGGGGTGGGGGGGTAGATACATTCTGAAAGTAATTGGGGAGGGCTGGGGGCTGTCGTACAACTTGAGGTGCGGGTGAAGTGGAGGGTGTAATACGCTGTTGTTGACCGGCAGTGTTCGCTTCAACCGTCGAGGATAATAAAGGCGGGCCAGGGATACCTGATGTCTCACGCATTTTAGCACTATGGAAGTCAACCACGACATCACCGCTCACCTGTATTGGCTCCAAACCCAAGCGCAATCCCACCGCCTTGCCCGAACGAACTGCTTCCACTGTCTTGGAAGGATAGCCCCAACAAGTCTTCTTCTAATGAGGCCGGCTTTCCGCTCGCCGATGCCGATGGACCACCATTCGCGCTGTCCTCTAGATCTATAAGCGAAAGCTCCACGGCTGGAGGGGGTGGAACCGCTGATGGGGACGCGCCAGCCATAAGCGGTAGTGCTTTTGCGGAATTCAGGTCACCCCGCTTGACAAAGTTATATCTCTCAACCGTGGTATTGATAACGTCATTAAGCTCCAATAGTTTCACAACAGCATCGGGATCTTCACCCTCCTCCTCTATTATCTTCTGGATCTTCGGTTGAGCGGTTTTTAAGGCACTTGCTAATTCCTAAAACTCCCGTGTCTCATTAGCAGCATGCAATAAAAAAAACGCACTCGCGTCAAACGAAGGACACACCTCAAAAGTATCTTGCTGACCGATAGTTTCCCCCTTGTGAACCTTCCCAAGCATCTCCTCTAATAACCTTGCCTTCTCACGGAGCTTCCCAATCTCTTCCGCGGCCTTTGCCCGGTAATCAGTCCTCGAGGTTTGATCGTACCCGGCCATGATTTTCATCAAACGGTTGGCCTCCTGCAGGTCCACCGGCGTGCCTCTTCGAATCAATTCCTGGAGCTTTGCAGACTGGGCGGCTCTCTCCTCTTCCTCCATTTCTTCGGCGGATTTCAGCGTCTAAAACCGAGCACTCGTTAGCGATTCCAACCTCTCGTAGCCAATGATTCCATAGCATGATATTCCGCAGAGCCGTAGAATGGAGAAAATGTGACGTACTTCGCTCGGGTTCAGAACCGCTGCATCCTCTCTTCTAACCTCCGGAAATACATATCCCTTGTAGCTCAACAGCCTATGCATATCCCGAATGAAACCCAAGTCGTCCTTATAGCGGCTTGTCTGACATATTGTTCCCCTCCATTCTTCAATCGCCTCGAGAATCTTTAGGTGGACCTTACCCGGCCTTGCAGGTGGCCTTTCGGGAAACCGACGAACGAGCTCATTCAGGAAGTCCTTGGTGGAAATTTGCAAGTGAAATGGGTAACCGCAATTCTTGACACATATATCGAGGAGCTATGCCATATTAACCTTCCTCCCAACAAAAACCGGGGGGTCGAAAGCTTCCCTACATTAAGAGCTAGAAGTGAAACGTTAGGATTCCGATGATTGATATAGTTTACGATGGCAACAGCAGCCTCACGGGGCCTAGATGAAGGATAAAACAAGTTAGTTTTGACATCCCACTCATCCATCCGCCCCCCCACCCCTCCCCGCAACCCTCCCCCCTCTCAAAGGAAATAACCCACGCGTTCCCCTTCCTCTTATTGATCTCGTCGGCAATCTCCAAATTCAACGCAAGATTAGGCTCATAATTTACCGGATCGCAAGCACTCTCTATAAAGGCTCAAAAACTGTCAGCAAAACCCCCGCCAAAAAAAAAACACAATCCTCCCATCCGGCAAAGCATCTCCGGGGGGCGGTAGTGACATACGTATAAACCGCTGGAGCTTGGAACCATTCGGCTCCTGTGGGAAAGCGCCGAATCGATCCCTCGCGGCCATCCTAGCGGTTGCGTACTCCAGCTTTGGAGGAGGGGGGGAAAGGAGCTTGAAAAAGCTGAAGTGAACCCGGAATTTATATAGACTTATGCGTTACCCGGTTGTGTGGCTCGGTCGGGGGGATTCCTGCGATTCTTCTTATTTTTCCAAAAGTGTGATGTGAGGGGCGGAGGAGGGGTTTCTGGAACTTGTTAATTTAGAGGAACAGACTAAATTAGCTGACGAAGCCCGGGGTTACCGCGGTTAGTCAGCGCTCGGGTTAGCTGCACGTGATTCTTGGCCGTTATTTACCCGAGTGATGGTCTGTGCTCGGATTTGTTTATGAGTCTCCTTAGATCATCGTGTGTATGTATCATAGCTCGGGGGGGGATAAGTATTTATGGAGAAAGTGGACAGTTGGCTAAAACATTCAATAGATATCATAAGCGGAGAACAAAATATCATACCAAGCATTCCATTCGGTATCTCAACTCCCAGCGCCAAACAAACAGCGTTTTCTTGTCTCGAAAGACCACCAGCTGTCCACGAAGCTCATTCGACAAACTATGTGAAGACTAATTTACCACCCGGTTTCCACCCCGAACAGGCCTAGGAGAATGTTTGGAACAGCGTTTATGGAGGATACCCAACCGGATCATAGTGGCGTCAGGACTCGAGTGTGTGCTGCGTAGACGAGAACCACCTACCGGCACTTCGGGAAAAGGTGCGAGTATATATACACAGCGGAGAAAATGATAATAAAATAAAACACCAGCTCCCGCCAGAGGAGGCAACCCCAACAACATAAATCTGGCACTCGCGCGGGTTATCAGAGCCTTTTTTTCTCCACCTCATTCTACTCGGGTATAAGCGAAGACCACGAGTCTATTGCCACGGTTCCTGAAGCGAAGCGTGCGCGGAAACCCCCCCCATCGATCAAGCCACGACACAACTCTCGTGGGCCTCTATAATAATCTCTAAAGTAGCCAGCTTCAATGACGCGAGTGATCAAACGTGATTGTCGACAGAGACGATTTATCCAGGCAGTCTGCTTTTTCTCTCTCCTGTGGCAACCCATTTCTATTATGATACTACTGGCTGAAAAGACCCGGCCCGCTAAATACTAAGAACCACAGAATGGAGCCGGGGGGTATCAATAGTTGTCGCACGCGGTAGCACAAATGTTAGTAAGTAAAAGACAGCTAGAAATCCGATTGCGGGTTCATACAAAGGCTGAAGCCTTGACACCCCCACCGATAGACTGCGACCTCCCCCATTCACCGAAGCGAACGACTAAGTTACCTGCAACTGGACAAGATAAGATCGGCCCCACAATACTCTACTCGAGCTTACCTACCCTCTCTCACGCTGCTGTTCTTACCGGTTGCGGTACGGTATCGACTGTTTGACTGGAACCACTTACTATGGAATCGATAGAAAATCTAGCGGAGCAGTGGCTCGCTATGGATAATGTAACTCGCTCTCTATCCCCAGCTGCCGCGGTCCCCACATGAAACTGATTATTCCACCAGAATGACCGGACCAGGTCTGAGATCAGAATCCTCTTGCAGGAAAAGAACACTCAGGAACTGGAAAAACGCCTAAGAACCAGTACCTACTCACCCATTCCCGTACCAATCTCTGAGTATACGCAAGGGCTGATTGGTGAAAATTTAAGGAATCGAGTTCGGCACGGCGGGCCTCCGAGCTCGCATGGAAGCTGGGTTCTCTCGAATGAACGATGTGACGGTGATTCAGGCTTCTCAAGGACTAGCAAGTTATTTGATTTCTGAATGCCCACAACCGGGCGTGGTGATTGGCTATGACCACAGACACAACAGTGAGCGGTTCGCAAAACTGACCGCTGCGGCCATGATACGATGTGGAATTAAGGCAAGCTTCGGTGGAGCTCCGGCAGAAGGATACACGGGTGCTAAAATTACCGGATGCTATAGGTATACTACTACGACTCACTGGTTCACACACCACTTGTTCCCTTCGGTGTCGACTACTTCAAGGCGAGTGCCGGGGTGATGATCACGGCGTCGCATAACCCGGCGCAGGATAACGGATATAAAGTCTATTGGGGGAACGGCTGCCAGATAATCCCGCCACACGACAAGAACATAGCTCAGCGTATTGAAGAGAACCTTGAGCCCAAGTGCTGGGACGTGGGGTTGGTGGATAGGGATGGGGGTGTTGTCCGGCCGGTGAAGCAGGTGACGGACGCGTATTTCGCTGCCCTGAGGGAATTGGAAGTAGGGCTTGGGTGTAGAGAGGATCGTCGGCTGCAATTTGTATATACACCTATGCATGGCGTTGGGCTGTCTTTCATGTGGAGGATCGCTACTGAGATGGGGTTGGGGGATTATATGATGCCTGTCTCGGTACAGGTGAGCCTTTTTCCTGATTTCCTGGAGCATCACCACACTGACCCTTGCGGGTAGGCAACACCGGACCCTAACTTCCCCACTGTCAAATTCCCAAACCCGGAGGAGAAGGGAGCCCTAGACTTGGCGATAGCTACTGCGGAGCGCAAGGGGATCCATCTTGTTCTAGCGAGCGACCCTGACGCTGATCGGTTTGCTGCTGCTGAAAAACTGCCGTCTGGAAAATGGCACGTATTCACCGGGAACCAATTGGGTGTACTGTTTGCAGCACATGTCATCAGTGTATATCGAAAGGAGGGGAAGGATATCTCGAAGCTTTCCATGCTAGCATCAACTGTGTCCACGCAGATGTTGCGCGCCATGGCCGATACAGAGGGCTTCCATTATAATGAGACACTCACGGGATTCAAATGGCTCGGAAATCGTGCCATAACTCTGGAGAAAAATGGTTATGATGTTGCCTACGCGTTTGAGGAAGCAATTGGTTATATGTTCTCGCCCATCGTCCATGACAAAGACGGTATTGCTGCCGCGAGTGTGTTCCTCACGATGGCACGGCAATGGGCAAAAGAGGGGTTCACCGTGTGTCAAAAACTGGAACAACTCTACCAGAAATATGGATACTTTGAGGCTGCCAACTCGTATTTTGCTTCCCCCGACCCGCTCGTGACGAAAGAGGTATTTGCTGCCATTCGTAAGCTAGGGGATCCGCACCCAGCGAAAATCGGTAATCGGGATATAATCAAGTGGAGGGATTTGACCGTGGGATACGATTCTTCCACCCAAAATAGGGAACCCGAACTGCCTGTCAGTAAAAATTCGGAAATGATCACCGTCGAGTTGGAAAATGGGGTTCGATTCACTGTTCGAGCCTCCGGAACTGAACCCAAAATTAAGAGTAAGATAACACTACATCCTGTCAAAAATCACATGTCTTGTCTTAGAGTGCTTGACCCTCGAACCGCTAACAATGATATCTAGTGTATATCGAATGCAGTGCATCAAGTTCAGGAAAAGCTAAGGCAGGAGCGCAAGAAGTATCAGAGGCTTTGACCAAAGAGTGGTTTAGGCCGGCGCAAACTGGACTTAAACTACCTTAGCTAGAAGACCAATTGGGTGGCCCAGGTACAAATTTGCACAGCGAGGATGCTATTTAGGGTTGGAGCGGGCGAGTGAGGCGGGGCTTGGACTGCGGGTGAATTTTTTTTTTTTTTGCTTTATATGGTAAACGGAGCCCTATCCCCTTCCAGAAAATCGAAAAGTGGTAAAGAAACCGAAAGCGGAGAGAAAAAGCAAGTCAACAGCAGAGGTGAAAAAGCAAAGTTAAACAAAAAGAGAATACCTTGGATTGAAACTCCGTCCTGGAACACGATGGAGACCAGAGAACCAAATAAAAGAAATACGCTTCCGGAAGCACCGCCTTTTTCCATGCCTCACTTTGGTTTCATATCACCTTACCAAAAATGAAATGAGGAAGGAAAAACATGAATGAACCCCCGCATCACCAACATCATAGCATTCATATGACGTCCACCTGTGAGGGCCATTGTGGCAAGTGAGTTCCGAAAGAATGCAAGAGAAGAGACAGAGAGGGCTAGGGAAAAGAGGGAAGAAAGAAACCCATTTGATATCTTCCGTTCACATAAAACTCCACACAAAAAACACGTAGAAAGTATCACTTTTGGAGATATATATCTGATGCTGACCCCGAAATCCGAAACTTGAAATGACGAAGAGATCAACCGTAATGAATGAATGAACCACCGTAAATCCCTCCCCCTCCGTTCCTCCCTTTGCATCCGCGGGATGTGAGGGTGGGATGGAAGGTGAAATCATACGTACCAAGTATCAAACCGTAACCACTAAGCCGTGCCGTAAAGGATGAGAGGAGGGGGTGCGGAGGTTCCATGGATCGAAATTTTCTGGCGCCTACATAACGTAGAGCAACCTCGTATCTAAAGTGACCCAACGTACGTTAAAATTTTCGTCCTAGACGCCAACAGTAGAGCTCGTAAAATCGAAAGCCAAAAAGATTAAAAAAAAACATGTGAAGTACAAGGAGATTCCGACCAAAGCAGAAGTAAAAATAAAGAAAGGAAGGAAAACGAGAAGGAAATCTTAAAAATACAAAGTAATGCCGTTATTGATAACCCTGGAAGTGTATGGAAGACATGAGATGAAAAGGAGAAGTTGAAAACCTAAAACTTAAACTCCATCTGCGAAGAATCAAGGGGATAACCGTCTGTACCTAGTGGATGGCTACAGCTAAGCTGGGGTTTCTGGGAGTATTTCCCTTGCAATTCTTCCCGAATGCTGTTGAGAAGTTGCTGGTAAGATTGCTGCGAGTTCTTGCTGAGAGCTCTGATGAATGCATAACTCATGGCACCAGTAGCTTCTCCGCCCTCAGTAGCATCGGCACTGCAATTTCCCCTACGTTAGATGTCTCAAGGATTCGATGATTTCATGTGAAACATAAAGAGGTTCGTACGATGTCTGACTGTCCTTCGAGCCCGACCATTGAATGACATCTGCAGCAGACGTCTTGGTCCTCTTTGCCCTTTCCTCGGCCCCTCTTCCAGTGGTAGCTCTCTTGAAGATTCCCATAGCCGACTGTGCAACACTTCCAAGATCTCCTCTTGAGTAGGCGCTCATAGCATCGAAAAGACCAGTAGCAGCCTCCTTCGCAATGTTGGGCTCCTTCTCGACACCGCGAGTGGAGTAGAGGTATGGAAGGTCCAATGCAGAACCGGAGTGGCAGGAATCGAAGATTGCGGTCAATCGAACGCCAGGCTTGAGAGGAGCAACCCTACATGTTGTCAACAACGATTCCGATAATACTGGGGAGCTTTCTTACATAATTCTGTGCATGTCATCATCAACAATATGGCCGTTATATCTGAAGTCAACTGGATAGATGGTTTCATCGTACCCTAGGAAGTGTTAGCGCACATCATCACTGCCACGGCGGGGGTTCTTTTTTCCCAGTGCTACTAACCATCGCCTTCATCACCATCGAGATCCTTGGTTTGTCCGCCATGGCCTGATTCGGGGGTTAGCAATCAATAGACTTTATCATATCGCAAGAAATACCTGAGTAGTGGAAGAATAATGAGTCATTGGGTTGTGCATCTTTGACCAGCCAGTGCATAGCCTGCAAAATGTTCTGTTTTGTAGGCTGACTTCGGGGGTTCTGTTGATCGTCGGTCAAGATTACCATATCCTCGCGCTTGTAGCTGAATCGGTCGTGTAAAAATGTTGACATGTTCTTCACATCGTTGATGCACCCCCTCAATTGCCCCCGTTGACCAAAATAATTGATACCGATCAGAAGTGCCTTACGTTTCCCAGTGCAGTTGCTGAATTCATAGCCAATCTGAGGAGCTCCGGGTACATGGAACGACTGCACACCTTGAGGAGGGAGATTCGGGGCTCCTGCTGGTGGAGGATGACTGTACATATACTGCCCAGTTGGCATATCTAATAAGGTTGAAATGTGGTTAGCACTACTGCATGATGACGGATACTCGGCTGAATGTATCAGGGAGGACAAACGATTTCCTTGGGGTGGAATAGCGCCATGGTATTGCGAAGTAGGCTGTGGAGTCCACTGTGGCTGCTTTTCAACATATCAGTCACATATCCGATCACAAGGAGCAGAGAAACAAAATATCTGGAGTAAGCTTACCTGTGGCTGGGCGGGGTATCCAAAACCCTGTTGTGGCGGCGGTGGGTAGTAGCCCGCTGGCGGTTGAGGGGAAGGGGGTGGATAGTATGGCTGCTGCTGTTGGCTATTTCCGAGCGCAAAAAAAAAGGTATCAGCAAACACCGTTCGAAAGGCCACGAGGATTCAGACTGAGGCAACGTACTCTCCATACTGTTGACCAGGATAAGGATTATATCCCGGGTATTGGTTGTAACCAGACATACTAGGTTAAAGTTCTCAAAGAAGCAGCAGTCCAAGTTTCTGGTGGGAAAGAAGGCAGAGAACGAAATGGGTCAAGTTGAAAGTTGTATTCGTATGTCCACGGCAGAAGTCCAGGAAGCCTCTCAAGTTCCAAGGATGACTGTCTAGCGAGTGATGTAGATCCAAGAGGCTTTGAGGGGTGGAATCTTGAAGGTCTTTATACAAGACCGAGAGCGGTCCCTTTGAAGACAGGATAGGGCAGGGGATGAGAAGAGAGAGGAGGTGTGTTAGGAGGAGGTGAAGAGGGGCGAGGTAGTGCAGGGACCAGGATGGAGATAATGATAAAGTGAAAATCAAACAAGTTTAGCGGAGGATGAGGAGGAGGCAGAGAGCAAGCGGTAGGGTAGGTGGGTGAATGACAAGAGAGCGAGAAAGTAACCGCGGCGGCGTGAGTTCTCAGGCACCTGAACTAGATGGAGATGTGCAAGATTCAGTGTCTCTCATCAATTTCTCAGTAGTGGGGAGGTCAGAATAGGAATCGCGTCGTTTCTCTGCACCACCACTAACACCACTAACTTACCGCTCCCATACTCGAGTACGGTACTCGAGTAGTCAGACAGTGTGAAAAACCAATCTACTCGTAACCTTTCCTGCCGAGCCCTTATCGATGCTTGTCCGCCGCGCTGTGCAACGCCCTAAAGCTAGAGAAAGGAAAAAAACAAGACAACCAACCCAACGGCCGCCTCGAGCGGACAGTCTATCACATCCACTCCACTTTTCTATCTCTCACTACCTACTCGAGTACAGAATGCGATAATAGTTACGGTAATAAACTCATTTCGCCCAAGCATATCCAAGAATGTATAGCAATAATTGGGGGAAAAAATTATCCTCCACTCTTTCTCCCCTCTCCACACCCTTCATTCCAATACTCCTCTGTACCTTCACTTTCCCATAGGAGAGAACATGCTCCCTTCAACTTGCGTGCATATCGAACGTTTTTCCCCATTTCTGCTGAGACACCCCCACCGATCAAGTCCAATGAATCTGATGCCCGTCATCATAGCTCTGTATTGTCTCGGTGGTGTCTGGTACGAGTAGACGCTGCACACCTACTCGAGTACACTTTTCCACCAAAAGGGTTTAGGCCCACATCATGTACTCCCACTCTGTTGAGTCCCTTCAGCTGGAGACGGGCGTGAATTCTCGAGTGCCCTTGCCTTTAATGGTTAATCCTTCTCAGCCGCAGTCCACTCGAACCATCCAACACCGCCCCAAATCTATCCAGCGGAGAGCCACACTACCTAGAAACAAGAAAGAGAGGGGTGCGTTCTACAGTAATTCCCCCCACCAAGTCCAATTTCGTACGATAGCCTCGGAGGAGAAGGCGAAGCTGAATCTGCGCATCTGCACATCTGCGAGATCCGATCTGGTTGGAAACGCTTACGGGAAGAAGTTTTTGGCGACATCATCGGTTCCAGGTAGGCGGGAGGATCCTCTCACCCTCACCTCCTTCCTCTTCTCTCTTCCCTCACGCCTAGCCCTGTAACCCAGATGGTCAGAGGGATCCTTCGCTTCGTCCCAGATGCGCAGGGAGGGGTGAGGACGAAAATATCTTTGCCCTCTCTTGATACCCGCTTTGCTTATTCCCCAGGTCTAGTTGTATGATAGTTTAGCCTACTATGATACTGTGCCGAGTATGATACTGTATTCTCCCAGTAAACTCGTCAGCTCTCCACTGTCGAGATATCCGAATTACAACATGTTCTGACGTTCAAATCAGCTTCAGCTACTGTATGCCATTGTTCCCATGTCTTGGGCTTCCATAGCACAGAGGCACGTTACCCCCAATCATTGATGTCCACAAGATCGCACGGGAGTTCCTCTGTTCCATGGGCTAGATACCGAATGAGGGTGACCGGTTCGAAAATGGACTTCTTAGACATGAATGTTCCCTTGATTGTACAACCCGCAGTGCCTACCTAAGCTGAACATATCCCCGTGCAGCCCAGCTGGTAAGTTAACAATTCCCCTACTACCAAGCTTTCTCGGGGTGGCGTTCCTACCACATACCGGCAGTGGTAGATGTCACCGTTTGCGAACTCGAATTCGCTGAGGGGTCAGACGCCAGCAGCGAATTAAATCACAACCGTAGCAATGAGAGAGGACACTCGCCTGAAGGATGCTGTGGACTCCTGATCCAGTATGAAACAAAGGTGGGGTTTTTCTCCCTTCGGGATGAACGCCCTGTTCTCCTGGCTAGAACCTCAAAGAAATAATCCAATTTATAATCTGCACAAATGCCTTCATGGCCGCAGAATCAGTTCGGCACCTGTAAATCCCGTAAACCCAAGACCTGATATATCACCGGTGCACGAATGGCGGCAATTCTTCCCCTGAAGATCACAGAGACACTGAATCAGTCACTGTGGGGCCCCCAACCAACGAGAAGATCGGATAATAAAGTGGCTCTCAAACATGACAAAAGCTGGTTCGCACGATCTTGCGCACTGCGGGCATAATTTCCGGGAACCTACCAATTGGTGACCCCAACCACCCCAGTGAGCTTCTTTTAGAGTTACCGGGATGCTCACCATGTTCGATACAATATCCTTTCTCTCGATGAGATCTTTTTCCTCAATTGTCTTAGACACCGAATGTCACTGTTGATGGTCCGGCAGATATTCCTTTTCGCCTCCCTCATCTCTTGTGTAGCATTGCATTTATTCGCACCCATGTTTCCTTCTTGGTGCAGATGCATATATACTGGCACTTGCACATGCTGCCATGCTCGAGTACCACCAGTGAGGTGTGTTTTTTTTCTTTTTCCTTTTCTTTTATTCTGTTCTATCTAATATTTCTTGTACCCTTCTATCTACCAATTTTTGCCCAATCCCCTGACTTCCCCTCGAACTGGGGTTGAATTTCATTTCTGCATTCCCTTGATTCACACAATGCCACGCATAAGGGGCAGAAAAGAGCAATACCCTCAGCTCTTTCCCCACCAATTTACTCCGTAAAACTATCATAGCATATCATACCTACCATGATTGAGGCGACCCTCTCCAGGTCATTTGACCTGTAGGATTCATCCCCTACCATCCCTTTTCTTTCCCTCTTTCATTCTTTCTTTAGGTTTGTACCCATATCTCCTCTAGCTCGCCTTGAGAGTGACCAAAGTTCCCCCCACCCCCCCCTCTTCCTCTGATACATTCGGTTGGTGAAGCGGCTAACAAAGGTTTCCGTGGTCCCAACAAAGTTCCACAAGGCGCACTTAGCCCATTTGCCACCGCGCTGGCGAGATACCCATCTCCGCCAACTTGTAGCAAACCATGCGCAATACGAGTGATTCCCGGTGAGCCTTGGCCTAGAGCAATTGGTGTTCCCTGTATCAGGCTGCGGCTGTAGGCTCGGGCTCTCTCCCACCAAAATCGCACATGGACAACACACAGCGCATCACGGTACGATAGTCGCATGCCCAAGGAAATGACTTTCTTTTCTTCTATCTTATGCCTCCTCGGCTTTATTGAGACCAACCTATAACTCAAAGCATGGGCCCGCCCTGAGAGCGATATTATTTTTTCCCCCCTTGGGCTTCGATTCCGGGGTTCTTTTGGTCTGTGGATGGGGCCATGGACTCGACTGCGCCGCCGCCCCAAGGTACAAGTATCGCGATAAGAGATCTGAACCAGAAGGCTGGGACGATCCAATCCCATCGCACTCAACCAATCGGACCGATAACTTCTTCCGGCAATGGCTCTCCGAGGTGGATGGGGCTGGGGCGGATGCCGTTTTCTGTCATGCTTTCTTCGGTTGGTACCGGGAGGGTGGGTAGTCGCTTTACTCGAGTACACTACCTGCGGTAGGCTACCGAGTATGGTAGTGTTTACAAGTCTGGTACGGTATTAGTGATGTGCAAAGGGGGAAAAAGGTTTCCATATTGAAAACAAAGAAATCCTGTCCACCCACATACTGTACCGTAATGGTTAGCGGTTCACTATGTCACTCTGCAGAAACTCTGGAAAAGTGGGAGCAGCCGTGCTTTGACGCACGGATACTGCAGGCTATACACCCGAGCACAGCAGATTGCAACAATTAATTCTCCATTTATCGAGATGAGTTTTTCTCCGGCCCGGTCGACCGTATATATGTATCTTACAAAAGGCGATCAGGATATTTAGATATTCAGAATGGTATAATAGCACAACCTTGAAATCCGCTTGCCGGTGAAACAGCTGAATTGGGTGCAAACACAGGCTTCCTCAAACCTCACGAGGTCACTGGAACAACCGAGGCAGGTCGCCCTCCCCGATAATGAACAATATGGGCGGATATGATGTCAAAGTACCCGTACGGTGCTGCGCAGCATAACAATGTACCGTACCGTAGTACTGTCTACTGTGTGATTTACTGTACTGTACTGACAACATGGACACTCGTGTCTAATAAGTTTCTGTACCCCTGTGTGGCAACGGCCAAATTCACGATCACCGGAACAACCCCTCACTACCATGGCCCCACCACACTCCTGCCGTGTCAGAGAAGACAGAAATCAAGAAATTTATGCCCTGTATAAACATACAGATATGGGGTATAATAAAATTTCCAAGCTTCTGAAACTTTCCAAGTCAACTGTTTCCATAGTAATAAAAAAGGCTGAAAACCATGATGGCAACACTCATGATACTCCCAGAGCTGGCAGACCAACAAAGATAACTGATGCCAAAAAGAAGATCCTAGTTGATATTATTGATGCTGAACCTCATATAGCACTAAGTGATATTATCCAAAAGGATAATGTTGGTCTTGGAAAAGATACTATCAATAAGATCTCTGGTGAAGCTGGTTTTAAGTTTAAAATACGAAGGAAAAAGCCTTTTTGGAGAAAAGGACAGAAGGAGAAGAGAAAGCTGTTTGCTAGGCAGATGAGGAATTGGACAAGAGTTTGGAAGTGGGTAGTTTTTGTTGATGAGGCCACTATTGAGTATGATTCAAATCCAGTAGGAAGAGAGGTCAGACTGAAAGTGGATGAGGAGCTGGAGAGAAAAAACTTAAAGCCAAGCTTTAAGTCAGAGAGGACTAATATTGGTGTCTATGCTGCAATAATGCATAGAAGGAAGACTGAATTAATTCTTGTCAGGAGGAGAAGTGAGGAGGAAAGAACTAGTAAGTTAGATAGGCTTGGCTTGAATGCATGTTAGTATGTGTTAGGTGGAGAGAACCTGATAGACTGCAGAATTATCTAGGCCAACTAAGATTCGTTTCTGTAGACGGAGATTGTCTAGGAAGGCTTGGATTATACTCGTTTTATTTATGACTACTAAGAGTGAAGTAAAGAAGGTAAAGTAGAATAGAATTGTGAAAACAATATTATATTTTTAAGATCTCTTCTCTGTTGTTTGATGATGTCTAAAAGCTTGGGAGATACTTTGATATTTATGTTCCATGTCTGAGTGTTTGTGGACTACATCTATCGATTATACAACTACGTACCTCTCTGATTATATCTCACGACATCGGGTATTCATCAAAGGTGCGTACACCTAGAGACCATGAAAATCACCACACCCAGTTTGGTAATTGTGATATAGTTAACTTGTA